ATGTACCGAAAATTAGACCCTTGACTTAGGCAACCTGTACTGACAGACATGTCGGACCGGTTGCCTGTCCGTAGGCGCAAACGTGCCATCTCTTCGCATATCATGTGCACCTGATACCAGGAGTAAAAATCCGACATCTCCCATCACAATTTTGAGAGGAGCGATTCGCAACATTGTTGAAGTTGGGAAAGAAGCGATTTGCAACATTGTTGAAGTTTGGAAATGATAGATTTGCAACATTGTTGGATTTGCAACATTGTTGAACTTTGAAGAGGGGCGATTTGCAACATTGTTGAACTTTGAAGAGGGGCGATTTGCAACATTGTTGACTTTGCCAAAATGCTAAATAGGCCAGAATTCCGAAATGTACTGAAAATTAACCCCTTGACTTACGCAACCTGTACTGACAGACATGTCGATCGGTTGCCTATCCGTAGGCGCAAGCGTGCCACCTCTTTGCACATCATGTGCTCCTGATACCAAACTGCTAAATCGGCCAGCATTCCAAAATGTACTGGATATTAGCCCCTTGACTTAGGCAACCTGTACTGACAGATATATCGGACCGGTTGCCTATCCGTAGGCGCAAACGTGACACCTCTTCGCACATCATGTGCTCCTGATACCAGAATAAGAATTTGGCATGACTTTCAATTGAATATCGATACTTACCTCCTGTATTAGCAGAACGTGTTGATCGATAAGGTATTATAATTTTTAATTCTATCTCGAAACTTACCTATTGTATCCGGATATCATGAACAGCGAAGAGATGTGTCAGGGAAAGAAGGAAAATTAATAGGAAACATTCTAGAAATTGAAGAGAAATAACGGGAACTGTCTGGAGCCTTTAGGAGTTGCTAAGAGATATTAGGGGGGGGGGGGAAGTGTTAGGGGGTGTTTGGAGACGATAGAGAGTGTTTTAAGGTGTTAGAGGGTGGTAGGAGTTGTCAGTGTGTATTAGGAGCTGTCAGGAAATGTCTGGAAGTGTAAAGGAAATGTTAGATTGTGTTAGAAGGACGGAACGTGAAATAGCGCCATCGGTGGCAGAAAGCCCAAGCTTATGGTAAAAATAGTTCTCACTGTTGCTGCTAGATGGTGCGATTGAGTAAAGGGTCGATAATTATTTTTCCATTAAATAACTATTCATAAAAATGATTAATGTGACATATGATGTCTTGTAGACATCATATTGATGTTGACATAGATGTTCTTGTAACTTCATTATTTTATTTAAATTAAACCTTCCTTTAAAAAGAAATATAATAAAGTATATCAGTGGCGCCATCTTAGAGATATTGTGGGAACTATTCACATCAGATCGTGAAATTAACCATCAGACGGTAACAGTTATCGTTAAAGCGTAACAATGATTATTACAGCGTAACGATAATCATCAAAGCGTGATGGTGATTATCAGAGCGTGATCGTGACCTTTAGGCGTCATGATGATCAGGCCATGACCTTGACTATCAGACCGTGACGATGATCATCATACCGTAATCAGAATGTGACCACGATAATCAGAGCGTAGCGATGATCGACAGAGACAGCGATGGTAATGGTCACGGCTACGATTTGATTGTCACGCTCTGACGATCATCGTGACGTCACGGTATAAAGGTCACGGTTACGGTCTAATGGTCAAGGTCTCGGTCAATCTCTGATGGTCAGGGTTACGGTCACGTTTTGAGGGTGAAGGTCGCGTTCCAATAATCACGGTCACGATGTGATGATCACATATCATGCTCTGATAACCAGTATCACTCTGTAATGATCTCGATTACAATGACTCTCTGGTGATAACCATCACGTTCTGATCCTTGGAGCATGACCATGCCGACCGTCAGACCGTGATGTTTAATTAAAATTTATAATTATTAGTAATTATTGCACAAAGTATTGACGTCATGTTCATCAGTCAATATTTCAGTTACATCTTGTCCAACTCAGATTGGTACTAAGAAAAAGAACACAATACGATTTTCCGTTTATGTATATAATGATATATTCCTTCAGTTGTTACATGTCAGTTCTCTCTGTTATTCAAAATGAATATCCATAGATCGCGACAATTCATTCGATGCGGTTACGTCCAAAAATTTTGAAGATGTTACCTTTTTTTCACACAAATTCTTGATCAAATTCATTGAACGAAAAACGTTCCCAAGCTTACAAAGTAATAGGATTTTGCTCACATTTCGCAAGAACGACATACTAAGTATAATTATTAATATATACAGATCAAGAAATAATACATATAATATAATACAGTCGCATAACATAACAATTATCATACAACGTATACATAGTAGTAACTAATAGTAAAACGTAACGCAAAATGTAAATAAAGCACTAACAATAGCGTAGGGTATCTGCTATACGTTATACAAAAAATTGTATTCTAGCTTTTCTTAACACTTTCGTAGCCGATGATCATAGCGCGCAATTGAAAACTGATAGTCATTCAGACCTTTCAGAAATGTATAGCTGGCTGCGGCAAGGCTGTCGATAGGGTAAGAATAACAATTAATATAATTGTTTTATAATAGCATTCTTTTAGCTTATTCATTGAAACTAAAAGATATTTTAATATTACAAATCAAAATAGAAGAAGATAACATTTATAAGAACACAAATTTTTATATGCAATAATTTCAAGCAAGAAGAATATAATACGAGCCAAGTCGATATATCCATGTCTAATAGTTTTTAAAGCCGAGAGCAGTACACATTCTTTAAACTAGATAAACAAATGACTGTATTTTTTGTTGTTGCTATATCAAAATACAAAGTTGAAAGCATAATTATAAGTTTTAACAAATTGTGTTTCGGGCTAAATAATCACACATGTGTGTTATAGATTTGTATTGTACACATGTACAAATTTCCTATTGTTTTTGAATGTTCTAACTAAATGGAAATTTTCCATTTTCAGTTAATATTCTTGTTGCTCGTCTCCTTTTTCCTTCTCTTCCTCATCCCTCATTATGTATAATTATCTTTCATTCACATGATTCCATTTATCTTTATCTTTACGTTATAAAGATAAACGACATAATTACATAAAAAAAAAAAACTTGCAATTAATTTATCGTTAGACACTTGCTGCAACCATAAATTCGACTCGTAAAGTTGTCTGCCTCGTTATAAAAAAGAATGAAGTACAGTTATGTCGGTGGCAACTACCTATAGATTTAATCAACGGCTATCAGCTATAGATTAACAAATGACGTAAATTATATCATCGACTGCGAATTTGTTAAATGTCATTTCTCCTTCGGTTTCGGTCCCTGTGTTTCTTCTTACGTACAAGAGTTACAAGTTAATCGTAGACGATTGGAAAAAACAAAATTTGCACCTGCTACGAGATTTTCGTTGTGCTGTTTCGTCAACCCTGTGTACACGATTATGGTATTTGAGCGACAGTCAATGAAAGATCGAACGAATCGTGATGACGAATACTGTAAACGGAATGAAGTCAAGTGGCCTTTCGAAGCCAACCCAGCTATAATACAATGCGAGGTACTTTAAGAAACATTCCGTTTTCGCATAGTTACAGTGGACCGAGGTAGGAACAGTTATCGCGCGACAAGTAACAGAATCGTACGAAACAATTATTTCCGTAATAGTCTTCGCGTATCGAATATCACGTTCGACATTTATGAAAGTTCTGCCAAGTATTATTTCATTGTTCTTTTTCTCCTCTTTTTCTTTTATTTTTGCAAAATCGAGCGTGTCTTGGAACGTTGGTAACTCGTCGAAGCAACTATGCGCAGGTTCAAACTTCTCGAAGGATGCGTCTGTCTTTAAAAAATTTGAAAAAATAAAATTTCCAGCGTCGTCGCTGTTTTGTCTCCCTGTATTTCGCGGCGCGCGTACATCTTATCATTAGACTACACAGGGTGTTCCGTAGTTGATGGTGTAACCGACGAGGAGGCACTGATCTTTTATAAAATAAACGCATCGATTTCTTTTCGCGTGTTGAGTTCATAGAGATATTATAGATAGAGTAAAGGAGCGTTCCGACCGTTCAATAGCTAAACAGAGAAAGAAAACCGCGGTACCCTACTCATCTCTATCTACCAGCGCATTTTTATATCGTTTTCATGTTAATCATGAATGGTTACCGTTTATACTTTTACTAACGACTAGACTGCGGATCTTGATGCAAAATAAAATCTTCGCGAATTTATTTTACTCTGCAAATATTGTAACATGAACTTTACTTTCAATCTTTCTTATATTCTTGCATATTGTTTGCATTTTATACTTTCTTGCACATTCAAATTTCCTATAAATGCATAAAGATCCGCAGTCTACTAATGACATATACATTTTACATACACAGTAATAAAAGTACAGAAATAGATACGGTACCCTGTTTTTTGTTCTCTTTCTAACGGTAGGACATTTCCACTTATAGGCAGGCTTACGTCTCCCTAGCTTTATCTATAATAACACTGTGATTGAATTACCTCTGCTTGGTCGTGCCGTACGTCACGGAACACCTTGTATACAGGGTGACTCTAGAAACTAGAACAAGTTGGAGCTATTTTCTTAACGAAGATTCAACAATCGATACAGGACTAATTTTGCCTCTTCTTTTTAGAGCAACAGTGCAAGTGCGATGTACGCATTCATTTACTTTTTAAATGGAACCATGCTTCTTTTTTTACATGAATTGATTCTTCTCGCCATAGTGTATATGAAAGTACTAGCGTATAACTATTGGATATGTTTCTGAGATAAGTAAAAGACTGTTTAAAACTCTTGAAATCGATTTCATCATTCAAAGCTCCAAATTCTATTTATCATATTCTAATGGACTCTAACATATTTCAAAATGAAAGGATCAAAGTAAACTCAAGTGATAATTTTAAGATTAACCTAAACGAAGTAGCGAGCTGCAAAAAAGCTGTCCAGTTTCTCAAACGGATTAATTCATTTGACCAAATTTAACACATTCAACAATGTATATTATAACGACTAGACCTAAAATTGTTAATTTGCAATTTGCAATCAGTAATAGTCACTAAAAACTTCTGTTGCTGAAGCGATTTTAAAAACAAAATATCAATATTCCAAATACTATCTTAAATACACTTCGTCTTCAGCTATCTTTTTCGTTCATAAAAGCATGTTTATAATATTCGATGCAGCATTTTGTCCATTTCTATTGCACTTGATAAATATATTGAACCCATTCCAAACCGACTCAATCTGGTACGGTTTGAATACAAAGATAAAGTATAACATTTGTACATACACAACGATGAGAAGAATTGATTTATCTAAAAGTTGCCTGGTTCCGTTTAAGAAACAACCGTGTAAGCGTATTCCACTACGTACACCATTCTATCATCGGTAACACTTTCAAAAGCACTGCATCAACCTTTCGTACCTACGTTCGAGAATAATCTACAATTCGCCCTAGATTCTAGAACCGCACTGTACAATGTTTTAAAGCGTTCTAAATAGACGATAAAAATCGTTACACATCCACGCTAAATCATTCGATAACGTTACATTGGCAGTGATGTAGCTTTTACGTGTTTGCTCAAGGACGAAGCATCTCGTTCGCGTGTAGAGCAGTTCGTGTGGTTAAGATTGTTCGACGACGTCCGCGGGTGGCTTGGACGTGGCCTCGTTGTTCGCAAGCGTCGCCTCGCTGCACGGCTGCGGAGATTCGACCTTCTCCGGCGCGACACCGTCCAGCTTCGTCTCTGATTTCATCGACGCGTTCAAGCTTTTCAAAAAATTGCCTAGGTGTTCAGCTGCGATGGGATTGTTCGCCCACTCGTTGGAGGGGAACGCGGCCAGCAGCCTCTTCTGAAACATTTCCGAGGTGAGCTGTTTGTCGTCGGATGTTGTCTTGACGTCGGATTTCGTCTCGATATCGTTCGTCGTGACCTCGACCGCGTCGTTTGGGACCTTGGTCGAAATTTCGGAAGACTTGGACCCGTCCGACGGGGACGGGGATCCTTGTTCCACCGCGGAGCACCGTTTGCTGGAAGGACTTTCGATCGTCACCGAGCTGGAGTCCGGGCTGGCAGGTGATTTACTACTCGACACTTCGGCGGTTGTGTTGTTCTTTGCAGGACTTGGAGCAGGCGTGTCGTCTATTCCGTTGGAAGCAGCGTTCACGCTCTCGCTGCTACGACTAGCGGCATTCTCGTTATTCGCGCTGGTTGTAGTGTCCCCAGGAGGTGGCGACGGAGACGCCGTGGACGACACTCTCGGGCTGGCCGCTTCGCGTTGAGGAGTCTGACGCGTCGAATTGTCCGGCTCTTTGCTAGAATCGTTGCTCGTTTGCGGATTCGATTCGCGCGGTGCCTCGGTAGATGCCGGTTTATCTCCGTTGTTGACATTATTATTGGCACTGCTTCGCGGCGAGTATCGATTGTTGCTTTCTGCGACCGGTGAATACTTGGTTTGGACGGACAATTGTTGGCCAGTGTCGGTGGAATTGGGAGTCTCGTTGTTTCGAAACGCGTTCGCCTTGTTTATCTCGTTCGCGAGGGATCTGTTCACACACGCTGGGGTTGATCTTTCGCTCGGTTGCTGGTGTTTACCGATTGGAACCGCCAAAGGAGCGACCGACGACCTGGCAGGCTTCACTGGCGCGCATTGAGCGGCTAGGTGACTCTTTCCTGGTGGTACGTTGCAGTTAATAGAGCGGTTGTCAGGGTTCGAGATACCTGAGGAATTCGAATCGGGTCCGCGCGGCAGCCTCAACCTCGCGTCCATTTGGAACTGTTGAAGATTCGGCGCTTGACTGAGGACGTAGAGACTCTGCAAACTGGGGAAAACGGACGACAGATTCGTGTTCGCTCGACTGGTGCTCATCGGGCTGGAGAGTCCAGGAGCGTAGACCGGAGCACGCGTCGGCGTAGGAATCGGGCAGTCGTTGACTCGATGCGCAGCCGGGGTCAGAGAACCGGGAGGTGCTCGATAGTACCTGTGGCCACCCATCAGTGTCACTACTTGTCCCTGATCCGGAATGTTCGACATGTTATCTCGAACCGGCGGTTTGGGCTTCAACTTGGACACCGGCTGCGGTATCCTCAACGGATGCATGTCTACCTTCTTTCCGCCGCTGAGGTCCAAGATGTCCCGCGAATCCTGATCTCGTTTCCGTTTGGTAGGTGTCGACTGTCGTTGCGGAGCAACCATCTCGCGTTCCGTTTGTTTGGTCTGTCTCGGCTTAGGCGGTGCTGGCATTCTTATCTGTCCAGCCTTCAGAGCTTTCAGTACCCGTGGATCGACGGATCTGTCGTTCAGAGTGATGCTGGGACTCACCTTTCCCAAGGTATTCTTTCTGTTGTCTTTGGAGGCGATAGGCTCGACGAATCCGGCGCTGCTACCGGGTGACTTTGGCGCCGTTAGAGTTATACTGAGGCTCGCGGGGATATTAAGTCCGCAACCGTCCAAAATATTTCTCGTGTCGTTCGAAAGCATCGGACTCGACGACGATTTCGAAGCTTGCGTTGCGTGGGTTCGACTGGGGCCAGGTTCTCCCAGCGCGTTCGCAGATCTCTTCGCGGGAATAACGTGCTCGGTGGGCAGCTTTCTCGGGGACTTGGCATTGGTTTGCGCAGGAACTGGCGAAGAAGAAGGAGGAGCAGGAGCTACAGCAGCGGAAGTCTGTTTCTTCGCGGTTTGAGCTTGAACCTGATGCTGCCTTTTTCGCTTGATATCAAAAATCGGTAGCCCTGGCGGGCACTTTCTCTTCACCGCTCCCGCTGGGAGTATCGGAGGATCGTTGGAGAAAGTGTACACATCGACCTTTGCAGGATTGCTGGACGTGTTGATGTTCACAGTGGTGGCATTCGCACTCTTTGCGTAACCGAACGCACGCGCGTCCACGTCACTGCACTGTTTGTTCGCGTTCACTCGAGCGTTCCCGCTAATTCCACTCGCGGCAGTAACACGTTTACTCGCGTTGACCGTGTTTCCGCTTGCGTTTACACCGACATTCTCGACGTTGTTCTTCTTCTGCGCTTCCGCGTTGCTTGACGTCTCGGTCGAAACAGCGTCCTGTTCCTTTTTCGCAGCGTTACCATTACCATCGCTTTGCGTACCGCTCGATTCGCTACCGGGCTTACGACTAGCCTCTTTCCCTTTAGAATTCGGTTCCGATGGTATGTCGAGACTCGTCTCTTTGGCGGTTAACTGAAAGCCTTGAAGAAATTGTTTCTTCTCCTGCTGTTCGCCTGGTTTCTTCGGCGCTATTTTCAACGGGGTACTCGCGATTTTCTCAGAACTGGACCGTTCCACGAAGGTAACTCTGCGTCTTTGTTTCTCTTGCTTGTCCGCCGACTGTTTCTCCCTGTTTCTTTGAATTTGTTGAACGACTAACTTGTTAGGGGAATCTCTCTGCTCCATTTGACCACCGCAGTGCAGTAATACATTGCTGATAACCTTGGGCTTGTTTGGACTCACGTTGGTTGGCGTGCACTGTTTCAGCGTTATCTTGACTCCGTTCGAGTTCTGTCCGCTACCTATGCTAACCACGCTGAACTCGGGATTGGAGGACTTGGTTTCCGTGCTTGGGACGCTCTGTTCCTTCGAGTTCCAGCTGACCGCTGGACTTCTTAAGACCTCGTACCTTCCGTCTGGATTCTTCAGTATCTTAATGGGCGTTTTGATTTGCTTGGTCGTCTCGTTGTTCGAGGTAGGCGACCCCGTGACCGTCGTCGTCGTTGCCGTCGTCGTTGTCGTCGTATTCGTTGAAGAAGCCGAAACCGTCGTCGAATTCGCGGTCCTCGACGTTGCAACGCTACTTGCAGGTTTCTCCGCTTGCTCGTCGGCTTTCGTGTCGATTTTCTTGACTTCCGCCGTATGCTGTTCGTTCGAAACATGGCTTTGATTGTCCAACGTTTGTTTCTCGTCACGGTTGCTCCCAGATCCGACTTCCGTCTTCGATTCCACGTTGTTCTCGAGACTGTCTACGTTGATGGTGTTTCTTGTAGTGACGGCAGCGTCAACCGGAGGTAAACTTGCACCGAGACCGGGCGTGGAAGGCCTGTCATGCGGAGGCGCTTCCAACGTCTGCTCTTCCAACGCTACTCGGTAGAAAAATCGCATCGGAGCATTCTGAAAGCACAATTGTGAAATGTTACAGAGGCGAAGCCAATATTCGCAGAACAGTGTTTTCCGAAATAGAGAAGGCGATCGGGAGGAAAAGAGCACCTTATAAACCAACGAATGAAAATATTGAATGCAGAAAAATGTGGATAAATTGTATATATTAGGTGAACTGGAAGGTAACGTCGTTTTTAAATACTTGTTTATCACTCAAGTCGTTGATTTTTATCAATCTGGCATTGAAAATTTGCACAATAGATGACAAAAGGCTGTTGATAACGATGGCATAACTGATTAAAAATAGAAATTTATTAAAAATCTGTTTGAATTTAATGTAAAAGAAACGACATTACTTTCCAGTCTACCTGATACACTTATACGTCTGTAAATTCTTTTGCATAAACACAACAAAAGCTCTAATATGAACCCATGACATCTATTACCCACGGGGCGATGTTATCCTGTTACATTAACGCGAAATTTAATTATAAATATTTATTCACAAATGTAGCGATTAACTCCGCTTTACAATGCAAGTAACCTTGAAGAGGTTGTATGTATATTTACTATTTATTTGATTTAATAAATATCCTCTTTCTTCAATGTTAGTTCAACAAAGTTATAACAACTATGTTACTGGGACTTAAGTTTGTTCTCTCTGTCGCATAATTTATTTATTTCTGCTAGCGTTTTATTTGACTATTACATCCTTACAAATATATTTTATATTTGACTTATTTTGGCATTGAAAAAGATACTAGTTGGCTCTTGACATATCTTAACGTAGAATAATTTATACTGCAGTTCAATGGAACGAAATCAATAAGAACAACGTAATTTTGAATCGATTGAAGTAAATCTGGGGTACGGAAACGTTTCTGTTTCGGAGGGGACCGCCTTTCGAATAGTTTGGAAATCGCTGGTTTAAAATAGTCGGAGATTGCCATACCCTTTTCCACGCGTAAATATAGGCGACGTCCATGAGTGTCCAGTGTTCCGGAAGCGGGGCACGTCGGTGGCAAATTTCAATGGTATATCTCGTCATGTCGACGCTGTACTTCAAAGCTAAGAATTTCTTTAAATGCGCTATGGTCACCAGAGCCGGACACTGAAGGTACCGCCTGTTATTCGTTGAATTCGTGTTATGGATGCTGTTATTGTTGATATTATTATTGATATTAGTTTGGCTGTTGGATCCGTTCAAATTGTTGACCTCGTCCATATTGCTAAGCAGCATGGTCTGCGGATCCGCTCCAGGTGGTAGGTACTCTAAACTTAAGCTGACCGCGTCTTCTGGGGCGAAGATTAACCTTCCGCTCACGTCTTCCCCGCGTTGCTCGGGGGTCGCGAAGTCGGCTGAAATGTGCATTCCTCTGTTAGATGAATTCATATGAAAAACACACGCGTTTCTGTTACAGAGAAAGGATCTAAAGCCTTACCGTGCTCCGGATGCTTCTTGTAGAACTCTCTTCTCTTGCGCATCTCTTTATGGTACAATCCGGGAACCAATTTGTACACGATGTCTTGCAACGCTTTGTCCGCTCTGAAAAATAACCATTGGTCAGGGTATTTTCTTAATGTCGAAGCTTTAAGTGACTTTAAATGAAAACAGTGATAGTTTAACCCTTAGAAGCCTGATTTTCCAAATGAAATTTAAGAGAATATCGATGTATTTATTATTTGAACAATTTTTAAAGTTGACGTTTATTTTTTTTAACCTTTATTCGAAAGAACATTACGCAATGTTAACATAGATACATTGAAACTTAGGGCATTTAAGGGTTAAAGGAGATTGGAAAATTGAACGTTTCAAAATGATAATAGCATAAGTACGAAAGCTCCTCTGATACTAATTATAAGAGGTATATCGTAAAGGAACTGTAGAGGTCGAAAACGTTCCATTTCTTTTTGCGTAGAGTCTACACTGTAGACTGACTAGTATATCTTAAATTCAAGACTTACTTGATATTCGGTTTGGCTTTGTTGAGAACATGCTTGCAAGACGGGCAATGAGCTTCCGCGTTGAGGTGTTTCAAAATACAGCTTCTGCAAACTGAGCAGCGAAATTAAAATTAGGGTTATCGTTCACGATCTCGAGGTGCATAACGCGCATAGGAAATCCAATTCACTTACACGAATGCAAACACTCGACGACGGTGGTCGCGTCTATGAGGTACCCTCTGCACAACGGACAAATGAGATAGGGATTTACCTCGCGAAGGTAAGTCCTCTTACCCGTCCCAGACATCTTTCTTATTGCGAAACGGAACTGTCCGTGGTGGTACCTGTAATCAGAAACGCGGTTCGATGTAATCCCACCATCCGGAAAACCGCAACGCGAAAAAACGTTCTCGGCGCCGGCCGACGTTTTCGGTTTATAGAAGAAGAATCGAGAAAGGAGATCCTTTGTGTGACAAAGTAAATTGCACTTTAGAATCATTTTTCTGCCGTTCGATCGTTCCGTATGCAACCGTCGTTTCTTATCTAGCTTACATAAACTGACGTATCTTGTTCGGATTGAAAGTGTTTACTGTCTGAGTCGTCTTAATTCAAATTCAATTCAGCATTTCGGTTGCTCAAGTGACCGAGTCATCGTGTTCGTCGATAAAACTTGCTTGCGAGATTGCAGCAAATTAAATGTAGGAATTAAATCTGTTACTGCGATGAACGTATATATTATAGTTCGTAAGTTTCCGGACACTTGCAAATTTGCAATTTTATCAAATAAACGCATCTTTTTCATCCAATATTTGAACAACCGACTGGTTGAGAGAGAATGCTATTCCATCAGGACGAAGGATTATTAGAAATGATTTCATTTTTATGCCTAGCGCTAAAGCGTGATTTGAAAGAATTAGAAGACAATCAGGAACAGCAAATAATGAAGTGGCTCCCGCAATCGCCTGATCTCCAATTGAGAAATTACGGGATGAATTAGACAGGAAGGAATAAAGTGTGTAAATAGCGAAGAACTGTTGCGCGCACAATTAAAAACAAGTTGAGAAGAAATTGAGACAAGAAGATTAAATAATTGATCGTGAGAATGGACGGTTGGTGCAAGCAATTATTTCGAAACGGAGCGGATACATAAACGAACGAAGTATTTAAATATTATATAGCATTACCGGTGCCTCGCGGTTTCACCCGAGCGGAGTACTATTTATTTTATGTCGTTCGCATTCGATCGCGTGTTCCTTCGTGAATCAGTAGGTGACTGTCTTTTGTTCTCCGTAACTCAGATGTTTTAATCGATATCTCCGATAGCTGTTAGAGATGGCGTGAAATGCTACTTTTGAATCACTCGTGGTTCAATCACGTTCTTTCTCAATCGCGATGATTTTTCACAGTCATTCGTGATTCTTCGTGATCGCTTCTGATTGGTACAGAACATTCTTTTCACTTTTCACGAATTATATTGTTCTTAGGTTATATATGTATCATAATATGGTCTAAAAGCAATGTTAATATAATTTTCATACAATTTCAATTTGACTCATTTGTAGTTTCTTGAATTTCCGCTAAGGGAAGACAGTGATACATTAACAATAATAATTGTAATTAATTGTAAGTAATTGTAATTAACAATAATAATTTGACTCATTTGTAGTTTCTTGAATTTCCGCTAAGGGAAGACAGTGATACATTAACAATAATAATGAATAATTGTAAGTAATTGTAATTAACAATAATAATTTGACTCATTTGTAGTTTCTTGAATTTCCGCTAAGGGAAGACAGTGATGCATTAACAATAATAATGAATAATTGTAAGTAATTGTAATTAACAATAATAATTTGACTCATTTGTAGTTTCTTGAATTTCCGCTAAGGGAAGACGGTGATACATTAACAATAATAATGAACGTGAACCGCTTCTGAAACGCCATCTTTCGGATCACGGTCACGATCGAAGTTTAATCACGACTGCGATCGTGATTGTCTGATCACCGTGAAAAATCATTGTTAGTGATTTTTCACGCCATCCCTAATAGCTGTGGTCCGCGGTTTCGCCCGCGTGGAATACTAACGTTGCAACCCCTTTTTACCTCCTTAGAAGTTGAATTTCGAAATATCCTTGTATGCATCATAAAGGAAATCTCTGTGCAAAATTTCAGCTTTCTAGGTTCAAGAATTAAGCCTGGGCGTTGATACGTCACGGCTTTCATTCTTACGTATATGTGGACCGTTTATTTTGAAAGTGGTGTAAATCCATTTGCAGCCCGTAAGTATACGTCAGTTTAGTAAAATACGCCTAAAGCTAATTTATTGGGTTGTCTGGAAAGTCCGTGGCGATTTTTGATAGGTGGTACGCGTCTGTTTATATTGGAATGGTTGAAAACAATTAACATGGGTGCATCCCTTAAAAGGTGGAAAAGTCGTGGAACAAAATGGTATTTATATAATTCAATAAATATATATCAAAATATATAACCAATATATCCGATATATAACCAAATTACATGTTGATAAAACAGTAGAAACATTGCCAGACTTCGTATAATTTGCCTACATTTTTTAATTAACAGATATTGTTAACCTTTAATTTTCTCGAAACAAGAGAAAATGTACTTACACCATTTTCAAAATAAACGGTCCATATATAGATTTAGTACATAGCATTTAGCAAAAATAAATATTTCACGTGATATCAAATTGAACACATGATACAATTGTACAGTGGGTGTAGAATGTATTCGTACATCGATCAATTTCCCAAAAAGCTTTTGTGTGCGATTGTAGTTTCTTAACTTCTTTTTTTTATAATCAATGATATCTTACATATTCTCGGAAGTCTCTAAGATAGATATAGTCCAAACAATATTTACTAGTTAATATAATTTGCGAAATTAACAAGAAAATACGAAAAATTGAATAAAAGTATAGAAGCAAGAAGCATTTGTACGATTCTTATGACGAACCATTTACAGTAGAGTTTGTAACGTAAACACGTTAGTTTATTGCTCCGTACCAATTAGGAAACATCAAATTTCCAGGAAAGTACTTTTAAAAATCGCTCTAATAGAGGAATTGAAGAAGATCCCACTTCGAATAACTAATAATTTAGTTAACACGTTGATCGCCAAGCTGATACTCGTGAAAATCTCTACGTGGTTAAAATTACGTTTCGAGACAATTGGAAAGTGCGTAACCTAGCATTTGTCATGGTAGTTATTTTTCTAATCTCATCATACTCACAAAGTCTATTCAGATTCATTTTTATCGATAATATGACTTCGAAATCGATCCTTTTAATTCCTTAATAAAAAGCTCTGTCACCCTTATATGGGTGACGTGGCGACCAACGTGTTAATTTAACGCTTAGAAGAGTTGCGATAATTATAAAATCAAAAGGGAATCCCACGAAGGAAGTATTACATACTTGTAAATTAATGTAAATCTTCTTTTTTTTTTAACGAAGTTTTAAAAATTAAACAGTTGTGCGAATACTTATTGCTTCGATATTTCTATCGATTAATTGTCTTTTTCTTGTTAATTTCGCAACTTACATAAATAGCTATTTTTTTTTTTGTATTTGAAAACGATCGTTCGACTGGTCGCGGTAGATCTGGCGTTAAGCAAGAGTTATCACCGACAAGAGTAATCGTCCCGTTCGCGTCCATCGATAACGAGATGCGGGACGATAATTCGCACGATTCGCAGACAAATCGCACGACATAAGAAACGGTTAGGCCGTGTCACGGTGTTTAGCCCACTTTCCCGAAGGTTTCTCAGGTAGCTAGAATCCCGTTGCCTAGCTCTCTGTCCCCCCCACCATCGGGTGCCATCCACCCGGTAGGTATATACGGGTGCGTTTTATCCTCGGTCTCCCCGCACGAGAATTGTCCTTTCCGTTTTTCCACTCGCCTGGCGCGCGCGGTGAAACCGCCAAACAGCAGCAGCCCTTGCTACGCGAACCAGACGCGTTGTGGACGTACCCGTGTACCGTCGAATACCTGCTAGTATTGATCGAATATCGCGGCATTTCGCAGAGAGAGCCGCGATAAAGTTCCCTCTCGAAGCTCGGTATCGTTGCCGAAAAACGAGCGCGAGCCCGCTGTTCGTTTGCGTTTTTTGATACGTTCGGCAGGACCCCGGGCGATCATCGGACACTACGAACGCGAAAAACGCTTAAGTGCGGTAGAATCTCGATTATCCTCGATCGAAGCACGGAACAGAATACGATCATCTCAGAAAGACTACGTTGAACAGATGAGGCGTTGCTTTCCAGCGGGATAACGCCGGAATACTCGTTTCTTTAGACCGATCGCACGCGACGCAACCGATTTGAAATTAGTGTCGCAAACCGTTTGCACTCTTTGTTTTACCCACTCCACTATCTTTGTTTTACCTAGATCCACGGTCGTGTGAAACTAGTTTCGGAGTGGTTTGAAACTGATCGGTTGCGTCCGTGTACGATCGGCCTTAAGGTCGATTCAGACTATACGACACGACAAAACATTAAAACACGCGTTTTAATGGAACTATTCACACTTAACAGACACCGACCTGAACGTTCCGTCAACGGGAATAGTGTGAATAGTTCCATTAAAACGCGTGTTTGAATGTTTTGTCGTGTCGTTGGCGGTTCGTGTCGTATAGTCTGAATCGACCTTTGGTCGTTAGAAACAAATTGTTAATGTTTCACTGGGATGTTCTACATCGTTCTTATTCTCCAGATATTGCCCCGTGTGGTTGCTATATATATATTTCTTTTTTCATTAGATGTTCTTCGTGTTAAAAGGTTTAGCTTGACGAGTGACATAAAAATGCACTCGGAACGATATTTTGTTAGCAAATCTGAAAATTTGTAGAATTCACCCTAAAAATTTTCTGGTTTTGAGAATATCGTATCACACGTAAGGTTGGAAACCAGATTTGAATGGTTAGAGGGGTTCTATGAAACACGAGTTGAAGAATATAGAGAACAGGCAAAGGAGAAAACGCGGCGGTGCAACAACAAGGTGATCGAAACATCAAGCTGAATCAAATGTTGAAGACTCTTTGCAGCTTTTTAAACCGATAGCGTCGCTATTTCTCGTTACCAAACCCCAAATCTCCGGCGAATGTGATGCGAAAAGGCAGCTCTGTGTTCTCGGGCAAATTCCCGGAATCGCGAACGCATTTTCTCCTCCTTTATCTCGGTGGACTATCAGACTTGGGTCCAGTCTGGACTAAACACTAGAGACTTCGTTGTTCCTCGTACGATCGTTTGTATTTAGCCGTCTACATGGAGGCCAGTGCGTTGTTATTCCTCGGTAACACTGGGACATATATGATCGAAAGAA